AAGGAAATGGTGGGACGAATAAGACATCTATGACAAGGATTGGCCGCAAAAAGCTTTACATAAAGAGGAGTGGAAGGTGAGAGGGAGGCCTTTGCCCTGTAGTGGGACGATCTATACTGAAAAAAAAAAACAACAATCTAAGATATCTAATATAATTACGAAGCTTTGTAAAAAGTTTTGTCTCTTCACAAAAACATTCGGGAATGATTTTACTGCTTGCCAAATCGTCAATATTAACTGTAAGATTCATCCATGAATCCATGTCTGATATATTGAGTAATACTTGTTATCTAACCAAGTAATGATAGGTATGAATCAATTTAGTAAAATGGAGAGCACTCCTATCTAACCTTTAGCTAAAATATCTACATTTTTGTTCCTAACCACTTCAATCGCAAAATCCTCAATTGGACTAAGTAGAAAATATCATGACCTCTAAAGCAATCTTATGTTCAAAGACTCTGAGAGTTTTGCTTTGCTCATATATTGTGGGTGGAAATCGAAGGTGGAATTGCATTTACCTCGTGACCTAGGTCAACATAATCTTGTTAAGGCAGGTCTAACAGACTTTGAGGTATGAAGGCACTTCCAATATTGAATTCCAGTAATACTTGATTACTTCCACCACGTCTATCAGATTAGTTGTTGGAATTTCTGTTGTAGGTCAAAGGTGTAAGGTTGTTTATTTTGATGCATCATTTTTGTAATTTTGTTGATTTATGACTAAACTTTCTTTTTCTTTCCCTCATTCTTCAATCAAAGCTTTTTTTCTTACTAATATACTCGTGCCATCGTACAGAATCTCAGTATATCGTAAATGTGTTTTACTTTAAACTGTGTCTTAGTTATATAACATAACATCACGCCTTTTATCCCCGAAGGGGTAGGCAGAGGCGCACATTACGGCACTTAATGCCACTGTACAATGTAACACCCACTTTTCACTATTTATGTTATGAGTCCCATGTAATAGGGGGTGAGCCTATTGAGAATTTATTTAAAAACTCAGTAGTATTTTGCGCGACCCGGGAATCGAACCCGATACCCCTTGCCCGGCAGTCGCACTTGCGACTATTCGGCCAACGAGGCAGTCTAAGTTATATAATAGTTCAAAGTATACATATTTAATTTGGGCCTGGCTACAGCAAACATTACCTCTATTAGCGAAACCACAATAATATCATAAATTGGACGGGAATGAATTTCATTTCAAGAGATGTTTTAATAGAAAGTAATAAGGATTAATTTCCAAATGTTTATATGAAAATGAAAACAGGCGACAATTTCCCTAATTAGTTTTACGGTCGTTGGTAATATTATATTATATTATACGTACTTTGTGTTTCAAATTATAAAATTAATTTCTTATGAATCTGGTTCTGAAAACTAATTCTAATGACACACAGCTTCTTTTTGATCAATAAATTATTAATCGAAGACCAAAAAACAAGTAAAAAGACAGACAGACATACATTTTTATTTACCTGTTACACCACCATCATCAACAGCCTATAAATGCCCACTGCTGAGCAAGGCCTCTTCTCACACGGAGAAGGTTTGAGCATTAATCACCAAGCTTGCTCAATGCGTGTTGGTGATTTCAAACTTATAATTAGAAATTATAAGTCCAGGTTTCCTTACGATGTTTTACTTCACCGTTTGTCAGTGGTGTCTAAATAATCTTAGAAAGTACATATGAATCGGAAAATGTCACATTGGTACTTACTTGCCATTGGTAGGTTTCGAACCAGCACCCTCATGTATGAGAAGTGCGTCATAAACCTCCGGGCCACCACGACGTTTACCATACAAGTATTTAAACATTCAAAACAGTTATTACATGACATGAGTTTTAGTGTATACTTATGAATACACTAAAACTCATGTCAACCCATCATTCAAGCCCCAATTTAAAAAGAAGACCCATAAATTCTGCGTACAAACATCCACCGACCCTATAAGTTTCGAGTGCCAAAAAACGCGATTAAGGTCTTGTTTCACACCTTGACGACGTCGTAAACCCCATGGGATGTCCCATGAATGTTAATTTAACCCTATATAGATGGGTTTATAGGACCCCTGGCTAAAAACTGATTTATGCCCGTCTCGGTGGCAATAAAGAGTAATTTAGTGCGCAACATACGATAATGATCCTGATTCCATTCGTTGTAAACATGTCGTAAAATTTTTGAGTATCTTTTTTCTTTATGGAATTCGTTTTATAGTCTGTATTGGGCAATGGTTACTAGTTTTTAAATGCACTATTTCTGTACGTAATGGAGTATCAAATTGTGTTTAGTGCTGTGTAAACCTCAATCATTGTCATTGTACTGTGTGTTATTCTGGTTTGTCTTTAGATGTGAAATTCCTTTGTACGTTTGCTTCAGATAGTTCGTAAGTCATTGTGATCATGATACATCATATAGGAACTTTTTCTTTACGGTATCGTAAAAATTACTGCCTCGTTTGGCCGAGTGGTCGCAAGTGCGACTGCCGGGTAAGGGGTCTCGGGTTATATTCCCGGGTCGAGCAAAGTATTACTGGGTTTTTAAAAAAAAATCCTAGCAGTAGCACGGTGTCTGAATTTGTGGCTTACCCCCTATTACAGGGGAGTCATAACATAAATAGTGAAAAGTAGATGTTATATTGTACAGTGGCATTACCGCATTAAGTGCCATAATGTGCACCTCTGCCTACCCCTTTGGGGAAGAAAGGCGTGGTGTTATGATGATGTTATAGTATTGTAAAAATATAAATCTTTGCGTTCAATTTTATTGTCAATGTATAATTACGTATTTTACCCAACTACACAATAAGAACTTAGTAACGTCTAAATAATACAAGCCACGACCCCTGGATCGCTCGGCAGTCGCGACCTAGATTACACAGTCATCTGCAATGTTTTTTTAGAAAGACATTATAATATGACACAATGGCAATAAAAAGTCTATTTTCTTCTCTCTACCATAAGTCTCCTGTGCGTGGCTGAAGATCAATGGTTGGCATCGTCCAGCCACATTTGTCACAGTTTGTCCGTGAAATTGGACGGTACAGAATATGAGCGGTAGCGAGCACTCGCGATTTTTTAGTTGATTAAGAACGGAGGTTTTGAAGTGAACAATTTTAACTGGTTACGAATTTATGTTATTTAATTATACGGAAATGCTTAAAAAACAAAGCAAATCAATTTGAAGCATACTTCAAAAATTGGATTTATAATCAAAGGTGGTTAGCTACAGTAACCACTAAGACTAGAAAGAGTTAAACATCTGTATTTTTACATTCTCCTGCACTGTTTGTTCCTGTTTGTAAACTTGATTGCTCCTAGACTAAGACAGCTCGACTTCCTGCTTCAATTCTTTAAATAAATGTAGCATGAAGGTTTTCAACGTGTTCCCTTTGATTTGAGTCAAGTGCAATTAAGTACAATTTTATTTATTTTGTAGCTAAGTTTATTTGTTAACATTTGAAGATTAACATTTTTTTCATACGTGAAAATCGCTACGGCTTAACCCTCGCGCCATCATCCGTGTCAGATCAGACATGTAAAAGATGATTGTCGTAACATTTTAGAATTTAGAGTGTCAGCCCATAATATTGGAACATTATTCTCACAGTTTAGCCTCTGTTCTAGAGGTAAGCTAAAGGAAAATTCCCACACAATTTTATACTGACTTAACTCGTCGAGTACCGGTTTTATAGACACAATTAAAGAACAATAGGTCGCGGTCACCGGTGACCGCTTGGTGTTTGACAGTTTAATGTATTTTTCTAAGGGGGGAAAAGTCGTCATATGGCTTCTCCCGCCTGGGTGAGGCGGCAGAGAGAGTCAGACTCTTACTGACTAAAAACGACCCCGTTCCTTCTTCTGCACGTCGAGCCGGAGCCCCGGTTACCCGTTAGGTTCTCCGCGACTCCAAATCGGTGACTTAATGTATAGATGCCTGTGGAGGAATATATTTTTATGACAATTTTATATACTCCAATGAATTGCTGTACTCTGTCTAACTCTTAGATCTTTTTTTTAAATATCTATTGGTAAACAAGATCAGGTAGCACTCAATACCTAACAGAAATAGAAAAATCGTGAATAAATAGTTCTCTTAACGTAACAACGATAATGTATCCTAATAAATGAATACCTTAGTAGGTAAATATAGTTATTACGCAACTCCCGACTTGTATTAGATGTCATAACATAACATCATAACATCACGCCTTTTATCCCCGAAGGGGTAGGCAGAGGTGCACACAGAAGTAACACCCAATTTTACACTATTTATGTTATGAGTCCCATGTAAAAGGGGTGAACCTATTGATGGCATAGGCTCTACGTTTCCAGACTACGTGCTACTACTGAGATTTTTTAAAGAAAACCCAGTAATATTTTGCCCGACCCGGAAATCGAACCCGAGACCCCTTGCCCGGCGGCACTTGCAACCACTCGGCCAACGAGGCAGTGTATATGTTATATACCTCATTTGTGTTAATAAGCTAATGGATTATCGAATATGAGATAACATTATGAATTAATTACAATAATTTATAAAGTGCTAATAATACTTAACAAACAAGTTTATAGTTACGTCTGTAGTCTGGTCACAGTTGATTGCCGTGCGACAGAACTACATAGTTTCATTCCTCGGTTTTATCTAACGTTCTGTCAATATCCAGGAAGTAATGGGATACCGGTGAAAGTTATTGCATTACATGAATATTTTATGCATTTATTTCGCCGTAATGTTTTACCTAAACGTCGTTGATTTATTATATTTAGTGTGTTGCTTCCTAGTTCCTTGTGTTGTTTTAATGTCATGTGATGATAAATAATTTGTCGAGTTGTGTAATTTGAAGTAAAATTTAGTTCATAAACATAATAATAATCAGCGCCATCTATGTTGTTTTAAAATATAAACGTATTCTAGTGACGATTTTTAAAATACCTCTTTAAATTAGTGCGTGACAGTGAAAAATACTGACATTATTTTCTTTTGTTGCAGATTCATTTGTGAATAGTCAAGAATGGACAGCTTCACGAGGTGTAACAGAACTTCGGGTTGGAGTTTTGGGTTCACCAGACAGTGGAAAATCAGCTCTAGTACATCGGTATTTAACTGGAGCGTATATGCAAGAAGAAAGTCCTGAAGGTCTGTATTATCTTTATTTAAAAAATAACAATTTAACACTCATTATGTCTGAACACGAAATTTCGCGCTCAACAAAAAGTTCGTTACAGCACCATCTAGCGTCGAGTAGCAGAACTACGTTCATTCTACGTTCACTAAACTTAAACGATGCGTAGTAACAGTTAGTTCTCATAGATGGCAGCAGTAGTATAGTAATGTTGACCGTTATCTTATTACACCGCTAGATGGCAGTATATGGCCCATCATTTCTATTTAGAAAGTTCAACGCACTACTGAGGGCGTTATTGCACTGATTACACTCTCTTCGAGGGTTTGATTAGTGCGTAGGACTACAAGTGCTATTTATTTGCTTCCTACCCACACTAGACCCGATCATTATCGCCGAGACAGCGATAATAGCGAGAAATTTACTTATTCCCAGATTGGTATATCTTATTTCCTAGCTGTCCTATTAGTTTTATGAGGACGTCGACATTGAAATATCGCTCTTCCTCGCGTGAGTGGATAAATACTCACATGGAAACATATCCCTACACGTGGGAAATGGATGATAGCTGATTGATGATTCAACCAATGTAATTGATTATTGTTACCTAAAACATCTATCTGCTTTCTATCTTCTTCTATCGCACTTTCTGTTACAAAATATCATTAAATAGTCTACATTTATCAACTTTTTCTGTTATTTGGTGGCGAACTCGCAGGGGCACCACCCGATGGTAAGTGGTCACTGCTGCCGACGCAAGATAGTAGAGGTACCACAAAATATAGGATAATAGGACTTTTTGACTGTAACGAAATTCCTATCATACAATACATAATGCATGCATATACAATTATACACAAATATTACCTATTTAGTCACATACATTATCAATACAGGCCGGATAAATTTTAAACAAGCATTGAACTAACTAATTATTTATTTTATTGATTTATTCTGTTCTAGAACAAATTAACAATGATTAACTTTCCGATTTTCAAAGAGTAATAGGTAGGTACCTACTTAGGTAGGTATTAGAAAAAAATAGTAAGACCGTTGAGATTCCAAGAATCACTTCGTGGTTCGATCTATATTTGAAAAAGATTTTTTTTAATTAGAAATGTATAGTATTTACTTAGAACAATACTTAAGTGACCTGAATATGTTTTGTGTTCTTTATTAATTTTATTTGTACAATCGCAGGTGGTCGCTTCAAGAAGGAAGTGATAATCGACGGCCATAGCTATCTTCTCCTTATAAGGGATGAAGGAGGCTCGCCAGAAATGCAGGTTAGTGGGCATTTTATACCCTGTTATGTGTTTTATCTTTGCCGTATTATAAATGGACTGATGATTCGATTATGGCTCTTTCGAAAGCTTATAGACTGTATAAAGACGAGTTCAAACCGTCCTACACTTGGATCGATTGGATGGATCTATACTAATAATAATCTCAGTTAACTTTTGTGACAGGAACATGTCAACGGAGGTCTAATAGGTGTCTAAGTGACAACATCACTTACACGTCACCTTAGTTAATATTTTTATGCGGGAATACTAAAACGGTACTCAATTTTAAGTATACATAGTTCTGGCAGTACAAATTCTTTGTAAAATAGAGAGATGGTACGATATTTAAGCGCGACTCTGGCATTATTTATCAATTTGATAGTAAGCAGATAAATACTTAATAAACCTTAAATATTTACCTACGTTTGTACCTGGGGAAGGTTTTTGTAACATAAGTAAACATAAAGTTACTGGTAATTTCTCAAGGGGACACAGATAGGAGATAAGACCTTTTAACATTACCGACGTAACTATCCTCCCACGTAGGTACCTAAAACAAATCTCCCCCTTCATCCCACACTCACAAAAACCCTCCAAACATTTACCCACAATAACCAATTTCCATTATTTCAGTGTCTTACAAACATTCGAAGTTTCGATGAAAATCAATAAGTCAACTGAAATATTCATAAAACAATGGTCGCGTCGCGTGTCGTGTGCTCCTGGACTATTGATAAAGGTCTGTGTACAACACGGCTGCCCATCAAACTATACGATCCCAGTGTATCTTGGTCTAACTTTGTATAGTTTCTCCGCACACTCAACGGTCGCTTTATACTGGTTATGTTGGTATACCTTGTGTGCAGGACTGTAGGACACTACTGAGCTTTCCTACATGTATTTCGAAACAGCTTGTGACCTACTCTTGTATTGTGGGGTGTGTCCATTGATCCACGTTACATTTACATGTGCATTCTTTATTTCTTTCTCAGAAGAAATTGACAATGTTGTGTAGTTTTAACTTTGTGGTTTCACTACCTGAACATTATTGAAAATTCTGATATCTCTAAATGTACATACATAATGGTTTTATATAGTTTAACATTAGGCTCTTGGGCTGCACTCCAGTTTCTCCGTCATTGAGGAATCATGCATTAAATAAATAAATAAGTAAAAGTGGTCAAACGTTGGCCCATCAAATATAAAATAATAATCATGGGTGCGTTTACGAACACATTAGATGTCGTGTCGGACAATGATGTCCGACGCTAGCGGTTGATTAGTCTCTAACAGTTTTATCGGCAGTTAAAGGCTTAAAAATCTTGATCTACTTATTTACTAGTAAGAAAAGGTTTCTGAATTTTATACAGTCAACAAACATGTGACAACAACCTGTCAATACTTAAAAGCGCTGAAACCAATTGAAAAATACGTTACATGAAAGTGTTATCGTAAACGCATCCTCCGTTATCGTACCGCACGCAACAATGAGCACTAACAGCCTTCGCCTCCAGGATGCTCCTATCGATTTGCGCTATAAACCGAGGGTACAGTTTAATAGACGTTAAATTTTATTTACTACATACACATCTACAGCACGTTCCTATTTACAATACATAACAAAAGCGAGTACTTTTACGATGTTGTCGTATTGAAGTTACAAGCCGCTTAGCGGGTTTACGATACTGTGGGTAAAACATTGGCCTTTTTGTAGGAATTTGTTCAATTTTGTTCAGCTATATAGCTTAACGTTCTTTTGTTTTTGTTTTGTGTTCACATTATCGTGCTGTGGTTGGAAGTATTGGTAGAGATAGCATAGAAAATTAAAAATAGATGCTGCAATAAATAGAAAAATCAATACGATGGGCAACTAAAGTTCATCAGACCGTTCAAAGTATTACTTGTCATTCTTCATTTTAAGAACATAGAGATCATCAATTTCAGCTGGGTTCATAGGTTCGTTATTAGCACGGCACTGACCCAGATCTTCAGCTCTTCCCCCCTCAAAACAAAAACTTCTCATTTAACCCTTAATATTTACCTACAACTGGGAGCCTACCTTGCAATCAAAACAAGGCAATCTGTTGAAGCAGTTTGTTCGATTATCGCTTTAATTGACTGGAGACTGAAATGCTAACGACAGACGCTATCCCTTTGTTATTGCATTGTGATTATCTAGCTAGTAGCTACATAGCTACGTAGGTATGATAGTTAGATGAAGGCTGTTTCTAAGGTCAGGGAATGCTCTTAAATAAGGCAAGTAGGTATGTGTGAGGATTGGTATTCTTTATTAAAGTCGTCCAAAAATTTATTTGCGTTAACGCACCAAATTACCTATTATTTGAGGCGGTATTTCCGAACCGATACGACCTTCAAACCTTCAAGAAAAGAGCGTATTCAGTATCAGGTGATCTGTATGCTGGTTTACCTACTATTCCTTAAAAAAGTAATTACCTATTAGTGTTAATGATCCCATCTCATCATCATCAGTAACTGGATCATGTAGAGGCAGGAAACTGAACGACAGCTAACCCTCTTAAGAGCTTTAGTTAGATAGATAAGACAGAAGGAATGTCATAATCCTCACAGTTATCAGACGACTTGGGGATTGCGATCGTAGTTAGAACACTGAAAATTTTGGAGGATGCTGGTGCCTGTCCGTCAATGGCATTATTAAGACTGTAGGACTGAATCTATCTACGGAAAATCATCGAAATAGTGATATAGAGAGCCGCAAGTCTCTTTGATATTGATTTATGATTGGTTAGCTACTGTGTATGTAGCTATGTTGTTCTGATTGTTGGACGAAGGCTATTGTAAGGTCAAGAGATGCCTCTGTTGATTAAGCATTGATTGTGTTAAATAAGTATGTGTGAGCTTTGTAAGGAAATGAATTGATGTTCTTAATTAATTTAGGCAGTTTAAGTTCACTCAAACTACTATTACGTTTATGATTATCATGCAATGATACTAATCTCCCCAAAATTCCATCTTTTTCTGTATCAAAATTCTTCAAAATTGGTATAGGTTGTAGACATTACGGCACCTAATGTCACTGTACAATGTAACACCCACTTTTCACTATCTATGTTATGAGTCCCATGTAATAGGGGGTGAGCCTATTGCCATATACCGGGCACAATTTCAAACTCCGTGCTACTATTTAGAATAAAAAAAAATCTCCAGCAATACTATGCCCGATCGCCATCGGGGAATCGAACCCGAGGCCCTTTGCTCGGCAGTCGTATTTGCGACCGCTCGGCCAACGAGGCAGACATGTTATAGATATTAAAGTTAAAACACATATGTGCTTAATAAACCCATTTTTCGTAATGAACTATATTGTCTCCACTACCACCGCCATAATACCTCTGATTGGCTAATTAGTTCCACCTCAGTACCCACGAAACTTAACCCTTTCTTGTCAACACTTTATTAAACACACCTAAAATCACCCAAATTCCCTTCAAATCCTAAGACAACCCTCGCTCACTTTAGATTTACGAGCACGCACTGACGCGTTATCTAACCCTTCCGTTGCCAGTGACGTCATCGCATTAGGTCGGATTGACCCGCAACCCGATTGTCCCGATATAAAGTCATCTAAATATAGTCGCATGCGTCCCTTGTGTTGTCACCATTTGTTTTGATGGGCATTGGACGTAAAAACAATCGTTAAACAAAACCTTTCGAAACTTCTTCCTAGGAATCTCAAAAATCCTATGTTTCTACTCGATTTTTGTTAAGGAAGCTGTTGTATTTTGGGTTTACTTCATTTTGTATACAACGTTCCAATAGAGATTCCCTACAGAGCTTTTAATCGTACCATTCCTATTATCAATTCTATTCTATCGTATCAATTCTATAACCTGGACTTGGTGTAAAGAATTTCACAATACTCATGCAAGCTGCAGGAAGCTGCCATGCTGGTCTGTATTGCGAAATTACCACTTTATCCAGGGACAGATTACATGGTCGTCCTACTTCGGCACGCGCCATATATCGGCTTCTCGCCACAGCAATTTGATACAAATTGGTCTAGTACATGAACGTGGACCAAATAAAAACAAAAATAAAATAAAAATCGCCTGATGAAACTCGCGTAGCAACGAAATCGAATCATCGACCAGTTTTACTGAAACATGGACGTGTAAATTGAAGGGTTTTTCAGGTTGTTAGTACTGAGAGCTTTTTTGTAACTAGGTTTTTGATGAAGTAGTGGATAGAACTGGTCGGTTTACTGATAGAAACTAGTTTAACACGGTGCCATGTCACTTTTTTTTTCATTTATGTCATTGTGTCACGATCTACGCAGCGTACGTAACTACGTACGTAATAAACTGAATCTGCAAACTCATAACATTGTAACTAATTATATCTATACGTAGATAAAAATTGCATATTAAGTCTGACTGCCAATAGATAACTGTTGTAGGGAAGTCCTCAGATAACATCGGTCACGTGTGACCCCGATGGCATTTAATGTGTTAAGAACTTAATACCTACAACACAGAAAGTGCGATATTGTGATATTAACCTAAAATATTTGCTATTTAAAAACGTAAAATCTATACTTACAAACTCCATAATTAATCCGAAACACATTCCACAATAGCTTACCTTACCTTGCCCAGAATGCCCACTATGCCCAGTTCATAATGCGCCACACTAAGCGCATCCGTGCCCATTCCACTTCTTTCTAATAGTTTGAAATTGCAGCCCGCATTGTTCAGTTCTCGCTTGCCCCATTTCTACTCGGAAACGACCGTCCGGAAAAGTCCCGCAAAGAGTTTTAATTGCTTCATTTGGGACGATGCTATCTCTCTGTTTACGTGGGGGGATTAAGCCCCGTTTTTAAGCTAAAACAATCTTGAGAAGGTAACTAATACCTGTAGATAGGAACGAGTTGGGTACAAGTTTCTTCTCTATTTTAGTGAGGATAATAAAATAAAATAAATAAAAAATAAAAATAAAATTCATTTATTTCAGGCACATGCCCA